CAAGAGCACCATGTTTGAAAATTAGAGATGTATGTTTGAAATATTGCAACATTGTATAATATTCTTTTTTATTTAGCATCATGAAACAACAATTTTTAATTGTCCTATGATGCTTGATAAAAGCAAACCTACATTATTGAATCATCAATCTGATGATTATCTATCTGAAAGTAATATAATTTATCTTGAATTAATTCAACCACCTAGTTTTACTAGTGATTATGATGATAGTTTTCATCAATTTAAATTATTTTTTACAATATTTACTCCAAAAATACATGTTGGTATTAATGATGATTTATTTATTTGTCCAATGGAAGATCTCATTGATTGTAATGATTCGTATTGTGTACATGCAAATGCTCGTTGTAATGGTATAAATGAATGTCGTTCGAAAGCTGATGAAGAATTATGTACACGTGAAAAATCAAGTGCAAGATCTATTTATCATTTCTCATATTTCATAGTCAATATTGGATACATATTTAAGTTTATTATAATATTTATACTTTAACACAAGGACAAAGTTTTTCTTGATTATGACATCGACATGGTTGATCGAATTTACATCGGCAATGGAAGGCATATGATTTACCACAACCGACAACTGAATAACGACCAATAGGAATATAGCCATTAGCATCAAGTTTTATTGTACCAATATTTGGTTGTCGACGAAGTGATGGTGTATTACGACGAAAACCTTTTATATTCAATAGGAAAATTAAGCAAATAATGATTATTTTCTTTCGTTTATTTTCATTTGAGAACATACCAAAAAGTCCGTTATAATTAACAACAGCTTTAGGATCACTTAAGAATAATTCATGACCACGAACTTCCTCAATTGAATGACCTAAAATTTCAATCGCTATTACTTGCTGTTTTTTTTTAGCTTTTTTTTTTTTCTTCACCTGAACCAAATTTATTTCGAAGTGATAAATAACGGTAACCATGGCCATTTGTATAAAATCGATCATGTACTCGACCTGCAATTGATTCATGAGCTGCGGACTAAACAAGAAAAACTCAAATTATGATACATTGTTTTAATAAGAAAATATTTTCTATACTTGTCCCGTTCCTTCTAATGCTTT